GCGATGGTGGTTCGAGAGGGAGATCGATATCAAGTTCAAAGGTTCGTTGGCATACCGTCGCGGTGTAGAGTAGCACGAAGAACCTCAATCGGAAGTACTAGGCCTTGCGCGAGGCGTTCGTTTGGCGCGAGTTTTTTGATCTTCCCTAAGTAAGACACTGAGACCTTCAACACCATGCAGAGCATGATTGACTCTCAAGCCAAGAGGTACAGTCAAATTGAGGAGTTTTACAATGAATGCCTCAAAAAAGCTGTAGGCCGCATTAAACGCACATATACTGAGGAACGATGCACAAGCATGGTTCTTAAGGTGGGTGAAATTGCTGGATTGAAAGGATTTCTCCCCCCTTATTGCATGCTCGACCTTGTCAAGGTAATACGCTTCGGGCTTGAAAAAGCCGGAGTGAAAGTACGTAGATGCCACGACCCCCATCATCTCTCTGTCGAGTGGAGAGGCGTTTTGAAGAAACCCACCGTGACCCAACCGTCCGGTGCCAGCACACAGAAGCATGCGGCGGCGGATGGTGGGCCACGCTTTATCTTCGACGGAGAGCGCGGTGCAGTTCCGATGCTCGAAGTACTGATGAATCCCGCAAAATGCAAACCGGACTATATCTCTAAGAATGGAGCGATTGATGTTACGGGTTAGCACCCATGCCCCGTCCCTCGTTCGTAACTCCGAACCATTTCAACCATCTCTCAGTAGCCCGACGACGACGAATCATGATCGTCTGTGATGGGGGCCGCTTGGCGTTGTCGCCCGGAGCCCCTTTTTGACGGCTTGTAAAGCGCTTTAGGAGTCGTCGTCGCTTTCGGTTTTCTTCGGTTTGCTTGTGGAGTCAAAGCCTCGAAGGCTTCGATCGAGAGCTTCGTAGCGCTCGTCCTATAGGACCCCTCAAAGCGCATATCATGAGGTCTTTGGTTCTCTGGCAACGCATGTAGAGATACCTGGTATGCGTATTCTTTGTGTTTGCTGCCTCTCGTCGTTTCTGCAAGCAATACATACGCCTTGAATGGGAGGGTTGCTGACTTGGGGGCAGATGCCTTGAGCTGCCGATACAAAGCGCTTCCTGCTCGACAACCAGCCTGTACGACCCGCCCTCTCTCCGCATCGATCTCGAGCCGTGAGTCATCCAGCTTGCTGGACTGGTCCAAGCACTTTTTATCAAGAGCCTTTACGACCTTGAATGATCGTCGATTTCGCTTGTTTCTTGGCGGCAGATCCTCCATATTCAATGGTATGATAATAAATGCACCAGGGGTCGGCAACATAGCGGCTCCCCCTGATGCGTTTTCGGAGTCCGTCTGTGGAAGGCTAAAAGCATGTCCCGTCTCACGTCGACTTGTCAAGCAGAATGCACTATTAAATGCGAACGGCCTCCCTTGGCTTTTAGAATACTCCAATGTTTATTTACTGTAAATAGAATTACTGATATTTTGAACCCAAAGCGCTTTGATAATTTCATTGATTTATAAGTGTCCGAGGGCCTCCAAAAAGATGCCCAGAACCCCTTGGGAAAGAGACCCACGGAATCGTGCTCCCCCCCCCCAGGGCACTTGCTTCGGTTTATTCTGAGAATACTTTCTTACGAGAGAGTATCATCTCCATGGCATCTGAACAGTCAGCCCCAGCAACCGATGATGACGTGAAGAGAGTCGTATGCGGAGAGACTTTCTGTCATAACCTGCTTAATGACGGCATCGCAAGGGCATCGACGACATGCATTCAATACATGGCAAGCCTAACTTATATTTATAAGCTGCTGAACAGGGGAACGGTTATGCCGCCCAACGTCGAGTGGATTCGCAACGACATCGACCGCCTCATCCCCTTGCTGGAGAAAAAGTATCCAAACAAGGGCACACTATGCAATAAATACACCCCGTTGATGACCGTGTCCAAACAACAGGGGTGGATGGAGTCATACAACCGATACTATCATAGCTTCTTGATCGCAAAAACAGCGCAAATCTCTCAAGCAGGATCGCAAAAAGCCACCCAAAAGGAAGAAACGAATTGGATCGACATGGGCGAGATCAAACTGAAGATGGAAGAGCTAGGAAGGCGCATAAGACGCCAAATCCTCCCCGAGTTCCGCGCGAGCCGGAGACCGCTCGGTCAAGACGAGGTGAAGTGTGTTTTTCAACACCTCGTGCTGGCAGCAAACGTCCTCGAGCCCCCCAAACGACGTGATTGGGGTAACCTTCCAATTCGGAAGCTGGACGGCACCTTCTACAATGAAGCAGCGAAGGCCCTATATGAAGAGTTTGGCAACGAACTGGTCGAGAAAGCCACCGATACATATGTCATGGTCCTGAAGACGTTCAAAACTGCCAAAAAGTTCGGTTTGCAGGAGTTCGAGTTGCCAAAAAGGCTCTCACACTACATCCAGCGCTCGATTGAGCTAGTTCCCAGGGCCTATTTTGTGACTTTGCTGAGCGACCTCGGCCAGCCCATGGGGGATAATTATTGGACGCAGTTCATTCGAGAGATTCCATTTTCCAAGGGCCGCCACCTCACGACGAACCATCTGCGGCACGTTTTCGTGACCGATAGATACAACAAAGACGCCTCACTCTCCGATCGACAGTCCGTTGCTGGTCGAATGCTTCATAGCGTCTCGACACAGATGCGAAGCTACGAGAGGAAACGCAGCTAAGTGGCCTCGATCGACATGTCAGTTACAAATCTCATCATGTTGTCTTCTTCCTCAGGATTTTCGAAGGTTTGAGGCGTTGTAACTGGGAAGCCAGCCTCCAGCAACCTTTCGAGCGTTCTTTTCTGCGTCTTGCCTCCGGTCTGATACCTCTGATATGCTTGAGTCAGGACCATCGAATCCCTTTTTCGTGCATAATATTGTCTAACGGACCGCTTGTGTGCTCCCGGATCCTTGAAATAGGTCTTTCTAGCCGACAAGCAATGCCTGCACTCGCAAGTGAAAATTTCGTTATCATACGTATCCTTTAGAGGCTGGTCTGTGGTTGCAGTAGCCATCACTAGCTTGAAGCTAGAAAATATTATTCAGACTCGCCCGCACCGCGTTCCCTCCTCGTAAAAATTTTCCCCATCAACCCTAAGGAGAGATGATGCAAACGACCAACGCCACTTGCTCTCTCAAGCCTACCATCGACGCGCCTGCACTCGAGACCCCTGAGGCGGAACCCTCCGCGGAGGAGGCAGCGACCCACGGCGCCCATGATATCCGGCTGGTGTCCACTCCCCCATTGGACATCAAGCAAGAGATTCTGCGCCTTGCTGACCATGGTTTGTACGGAATCCCGGTGCACATCACAATCGACTCACGAGGCAAGAAGCGGAGCCGGTTCCCTTCCACTTACAAACACATTGTCACCGTGGGCGATTGGCAGGAACACATCGGCGCAGTGCTCGATGCATTTGAAAACCCCAATGGAGTGGCCATACTGATCGGCACATTTGTCATCGATATCGACGTGGGAGAGAGCAGTGATAAGAAGTCGGGGATGGACTATTGGCACGGGCAAGTGATGGAGCATGGGGAGCCTGAGACACTCTCTGTTCGCACAGGCTCCGGAGGCCTCCACTACTACTTTCGGCTCGATGAAACGACCGGCTTGCATGAAACTACCAACTTTGCTGGACTCACGCTCGATGTGCAAAAGTTCGGCGTCGACGGACGCGGCATGGGAGGGGTAATCTTTGCACCGCCAAGCACGTATGGAGATGGAACGGATCGCGAGTACACGTGGGTGACCGAAGACAATGGTAAGATCAACGGTATGCCCCCGTGGCTTGTGAGCTTGATCAACCGAGGGCGCGCCTCGGAAGGGGTCTTGAGGCATGCAAAGGGCCGAGTGTCTCATGACAAGGAAGTCGATCTCGAGGAGATCGAGCCAGAGGCCGTCGACGACGCAGAGGCTGGCGGGCCTGCAACCAAGGCGGCTCCGGGCTCGGCACACGAGGAAGTGAAGCAATTGGTGAGGGAGAGAGGCAAGGATCGCCATTCTTTCTACACCGGCTCGACCGTCCTACCGGACGGCAACAGATCCTTTCAGTTCAGGGTCAAGGGGTCGCGCCAATGCTACCTGGGAAAATTGCACAGAGGGTCCAACAACTTTACGGTGATTCAAGGGTGCACCGGTGATTTCCAGGAGTTGTATTACAATTGCTTCGGGTCCGGTTGCTATGGGAGCAAGCCGAAGCTGCTGGGACGTCTCACGATAGCGGGTGCTCTTGAGCAAGCTGGGGGTGGTGCTTTTGGACCCAAGGACCATCAGCCGTCGAGCCTCACTAAGCTGGCCGCTAGGTTCTCCGACCCGTTCATGCTGTCAAACGTGAGTAGTAAGAGCGATTTTGGTAGTGCTTTGATATTCAGCAAACTTTTCGAGCATGACAGGCGGGTGGTGTACGACTCGGGGAGATTCTGGACGTGGGATGCGACGAGTTGGGTGCCGTCCGATACGGAAGCAGCTCTGCTGAAGACCTCGTTTATGTACCACATGGGACGAGTCAAATCGTTTTGGTGCGATCGGCTGGAACGCGCTGTTGCCGAAAAGGTTCAGCCGTTGACGACTCGCAGAGACAATGCTCTGAACGAACTGCAGTCCCGGGCCTCGGAGAGTGCGGACGAAGAGCGAGAAGGGCGTCTTGAAGGGCATTCAAAAGGCGGAGAAGGCTATCATGGCAGACTTCGACATGGAGATGAAGAAGATACCCGAACCGGTGTGGCGTGGGGCAGCGGTCGAGTCTGTTCCCATCGCTCAAAGGTGTCTCATTCCTTTGAAAGTGAATCTACGAGTGCGGGATTTTGCAAGCTCGCTGAATGCTAATCCGCGACTATCTGAACACCACATGCGGCTCGATCGACCTCCGAACGGGGGAGCTGTATGCTCACCATCCGAGCAACATGCTCTCGAAGGAGATTTGTACCCTTTATGAGGGTGCAAGTTATCCATCACCGCTCATCGACCAATTCATGGCTGAGGTGCTGTCCGAGGACATAGTCCCCGTTATGCAAATGACGCTTGGGTATGGCATCACAGGCCACAGCAAGGAAAAGCAATTCATCGTCATGCATGGCCCAACGAACAGCGCAAAGACAAAACTCGTCACCATGGTCCGAGAGTGTACCGGACCGTACTGCGTTTCGATGGCCCGCGACTGCGTCATTGGCGCAGGTCAGCACTCAGAAGGGGCCGCCACGCCGCACCTTCTTATGCTCGATGGAGCGCATATTGCAGTCCTCGAAGAGACTGAGGACTCGGATATTTACAATGGAGCATCGGTGAAGGCGATCGCGTCCGGCGATGGGAGCATGACGGTAAGGGGGTTGCACAAGGACCCCGTCGAGGTCACCATGAGGTGTTTGCCGATCATATGCACCAACTCATTGGCAAAGTTCAACGCAGGAGATACGGGCACCCTCAATAAGCTGAGGATTTTTCCGTTTGAGCACGAATTCGTTGAGAATCCGAGGCCTGGAACCAACCAGAGATTACGAGACACCGATCTCATGGATAAGATCAAGAGCCCCGAATGGAGGAAGCAGATGCTGGCTTGGTTGGTGCGTGGCAGCATGATGTGGTACGAGCGGGGCACTCTACCGACGGTCGAAGAGTTGCCTGCGGCCATGGGCAAGGCGCTCGAGAGCTACTCAAATGACAACGACCACTTTGGGAACTTCATCATGGACAGATGCATCATACAGCCGAGCGAGAGGTGCCACGTGAGGCCACTAAAGGAGGCGTACGAGATGTACATGGGCAGGCTCCAACGGCCCATGATCGAGAATGACTTCAAGACATTGATGCGGACACTCATTCCGAATGGGGTCGTGTACTCGCTCGGAGTAAAAATCAAACGAATCAACAGCACTGGATACAAAGGTATAGGTCTGCTCGAGCCGACCGAAGAAGAGTCGGAAGAGGAACAATAGACAGCGGCGAGAGACGAGCAAGTCGCGAGAGGTAGGTAAGGTAGGCGGGGGTAGGTCCGAAGGTAGGTGTCAAAAAAGTTCCGTTTTCCGATTGATTTGCGTACTGTTTTGTAACTAGGTAGTTAAAGTAGTTATAAATTTCGTTTTTTATATATAGAAGAGAAGAGAAGCTTTTTCTCACACCACATCAATTGCTCATCTGCTGTATATACAAAGAAAGCTGGGAGACAACTACCTCCCTACCTCAACTTCCTTCAAAATCATCGACTGATCATAGGACTGCAACCGTGTAGGACTGCCACTACCTGAACTACCTCCCTAAGAGCACTGCCCTAAAGGCCTCACTCCACAGCCTTGCCGGCACAGCTATGGACAGCTTTGCGTCGTCTACCCTGCTCAGGTCGACGTTGAAGCCGCTCAACAGGATTGGGAGGAAGACCATTAGACTCTGGAGTCCGGAGTACCAGCCGAGGATCCGGAACTTCTTCAGAAAGCTGTTCACGGACTCCACAGCCGAGGTGTTGACCCATCGAAGAGCGTCGTAGTACTCCGTCGCGTTGCTGGGACCACATTTGTGCACCTCTGCCCCGGCTTTCGCATAATGGAACCTGCATGGAAGCGAACGCTGCATGAACAACCGCACAATCGCAACGCTCCCGCCCTTTGCCGGAATTACTCAGCCGCACATGAATCGACCTGCAGAAGCCGAAGCTTTTGATTGAGCAGACGCTTACCTGTCAACGACGAAGGTGACGGCGGAGAAGAACGCCGGCTCCCTTCGCATGCAATAATTCCTCAGCTGGCATGCATTGTCATAAACAACGAATTTGGGGAGATCCTCCCGGTCCTTGCGCGTGTACAAAACCGCGAACGCATCGCGGGGGCTCTCCCCTCGGAGGAAGAAGTGGAAGCCCGAGATGACCCGGTGCGGACAGCAAAAGACGAAGGCGCCCCGGCTGCGGTGGGGGCGCTTGCCCTTCTTCGTCGACTTGCTCCCCCCCTTGACCAGCCCCGGGACGTTCGCGGCGTCCCAGTCGCCCACCGTCTGCCCGGTAGCGCACTTGAACTCCTCTGACGTCCTGCTGCGTCCGTCCTCATGCTCGAAGGATGCGTATCGCGGCAAGCCCCGTCGCTGTTCCCACCCCGGCAGCGCGTAGTGCCCCAACACATCCTGCTCGGCTCTGAGGGTGTGCCCAGGAGGGAGCGGATGCATCCGGTCGCCCTCCTCGTCCCGCCCCAGCCGGCCGCGCAGCACCCCCCTCTCTAGCTCGCCCATGGCCTCCCACTGCAGTACGTTAGGCTGCGAGCCCTCCACGCCCCGGAGCAGGTCTCGCGCGCTCGTCCGAGCCTCTGCCAGCGACGCGGCCTCCGCCTCCGTGAGCGGGCCCCGCTCCCGACTGAGGTGCTGCAGCTCGACCGCGCGCCCCAGCGGCCGCAGAGCGGCGACGACCCAGCTCTCTAGCAGTCCATCGCCGTAACCGGTGTTGCCGCGTGCCAGCAACGTGAGCTCGTAGAGGTGGTGCAGGGCGGGCAAAAGGAAGACGGGAAAGCGGTGCCCGCCCTGGGCGTCCAACACGCGGCGCAAGATGGGAGAGTGCTCTCCGAGTTGGCGGCGGTCCTCGACGCTCGCGTCCCTCCCCAAGAGCAGCTCCCGAACCACAGCCAGCCCGTCGGAGTGGCCAATGATGCCGTCATCCGAATCGTGCGCCCCAAGGTCATATAGCAATTCACCCCACTCACACGGCCAGTGCTCCCATAGACGCGGGCTCCCACCTCTTGCCGCTTGCTCGAGCTCGATTCCCTCCAACAGTCGCAGCATCGTCCGGTTCTTGTCCCGGACCATCTGGCGCTGCTCGACCAACAGCCGACGCCGAGTGTCCGCGGGCACTGGACCCTCTCCATCCCCCGGAACGAACTTTGTCACGAGCAGCACATTTTCCCTGCCGAGGGCCCCCTTCAGACCCATGTACTCGGCCTCGCTCAGTGGCTGGCCGAGCTTCTCGCTCTCGGATCGATGCCTGGAGACGCGCGCAATCAACTCCCGCAGCTCCGGTTGCAATACCAAGCGCCGTTTCATGCCTCCACCCTCTAGCCCTGCTGCGCAATAGTCGCGCCCCGCAACCGATTGCTTCTCGAGCGCGGCACCGTCCACGGACCGCCCCGGATGCGTGAACGGCCTGCGGAAGTCGTGCGAGGTCGATCCCAGCCCTCCAGGGCGCTTTCCTCCGTCGGAGTTGGAAATTCCCACGATCCCATCGCTAAGTTCTTCTAAGGACCTGTGGGAGCCAGTGAGCCGGTTCATCAAATGATCCGTCACCCGGTAGAAGCAACATGTGCAAGGACTTGCGGGTTCCATCGAAAGCATGCCTTGAGTTGAGCAGGGAGGCCTGAGCCCTTTCCTGCTTTCAAAAGCATCTCAACTGCTATGCCCTTCCAAGCGGCCTTAACTTAAGCTCTTCTTCAATCAAGATGCTCACCTCCGGGTGCGGACCGCATATGCTGCAGCACTCCAGGATCTGCCGCCCCACCAGCCGGAAGAAATCAAGGCTGGCCTTCCGCCACGTCTCCTCGGATAGCACGGCGGACTCTGGAGCCCTCCGGAAGGCCTCCTGCTGTCCCTCCAGCAGTGCCCCGAATCCCGACTGCCCCCGCTGCATCTGCTTCAGCAACAGTTGTAGGCTCTCCTGTACAACAATCGTCTGGCGGCTCCAAACGTACAGCCCCAAGTGCTCTCCGTCGAAGTGGATGGTGTGCTTCCTTGGGCACTTGCAAGAGTAGATTCTGGTGCGCACGGCCTGACTCCAAGTCGAGGCATGCACTACCGCGTCCTGCCAGAGTTCCACCCACTTCCCACCGCACGGAGGCGGTTCGAGAGGGCACGGCGCGCTCAGCATCCCGAGCTCGCCCAGCTCTTGGAAGTCCCTCCCCACCAGCTTGCTCACTCGAATCGGTCCGCATCTGAGCCGCATCACCCAAGGGTCGTGGAAGTCAGGCGCGTCGCTCAGCTGGCTCAACTTCGGCTTGGTCACTTGGACGGCCTGTGTCTCCTGAACCATGACGGGAGCCCTTCCTACCCCCCCGTGCTGGCACCCCCGCTGGGCACCCTCCAACGTGCAGCTGCCGCAGGAAGAAACCCAGCATCGGATTGCTTCCTTGCCCAGCGCCTCTGCGGGCGGCTCCCGCACACTTTGGGGTGCCACAGTCAAAGGACCCCCGCCCGCATGACTCCTATACCACTGCTTGCTCCTGCGCACCCCCCGCCATGGCTCGCTCACGCCCAGCCCGTGGGGTGCTGACGTGGACGGCTCAGTTGCTGGTGCTCTTGGCAGAAGCAGTCCGCACCAACGCATTCGGCCGGCTCATGCCGCTGCCCGGAGACGAGGCCCATCAGATGCACCTCCTCCTCGCCGGCCCCTTCGGAACTCACGCTCAGCTCGCTCCCTCCCTCACCCCCGCCCAGCAACGGCAGCGCTCCGTCCCACCGCTCCAACCACTGTCTCGCTCTACTTAGGGCATCCTGCCCAAGAAGTAGCCCCTGTGCAAAATGGACCTGCCCCGCTCGGACGGCCAAGTTCGCAGCGAGAATGTGGCTACAGTCGTGCTGCGACGGACAGCCGTCCCTCTTCCCCTGGCAATACCAGGCGCCCTCAACGTTCCGGTGCAGCATCTTGTGCGCTGGACTGACCCCCCTGGGGCTGCTCCTTGCTGCAAAGAAGCGCCCCGTGGAGTCCGCCCCCACCTGCTCGACCAGCCCCGCTCCCCGTCCCAACTCTCTGGCCGTGGGGAGGCCCCTCTGCTCCGACCCCGGAGCGCCGAGGGCCGCGAGCACCAACTTATGGACGCAAGGAGCGTCCCTGGCCAGCCGGCCACGATCGCACGAGCAGTTCGAGTATCCCTGGCTATCCCACCAGCACTCCTCCAGCAGCGCCTTCTCCTCAGTTGCTGGGCTTGCCGAGAGCTTTCGGCCTCGCTCGGTTGTGATCCCAATGCGTCATGTAGAGCCGTGGAGGGCCGTGCGCGCAAACGTCTACTCCAGCAGGAACAACTAGGCGGCACGTGCCCTCCAGGACGCCGCTCAGGAAGAGGCCAGCTTGGGCCGCGATGCCGAGGTGGGCCTCAGGCTGCAGGTGCCAACAAGATCTTTCAGGCACACTTCCTGACCGCTCTCGGAAAACAACCTCACGCCTTGCTCACAGTCGGAGCTGAACGAGCACCTCAAGATCGCAGCTGGGATCTTACGCATTATCCCGCCTTTCAAGTGGCGGGCCATGAGAAATTCATGAACAGCATGTAGTCGGTCCTTGTGCTCCCCCTTTTGGCATGGGCGCAGGCCAGGCAATGAGTCCATTGGAATCTGACGGGGCGGGCACAATCGGTGGCAGACGCTTGCTGCATTGCAAATCATCATAGGTTCTATCAAGAAATTATCTGCACTCACCAGTATCTCGCGCGCGCGGCTGCCGGCTTGCATGCCCCTGTTCAATGCGCTCTCAGCTGCCGCCTTTTTCGGCTTCTTCCTGCTCACGGTGCTCTCGTTTGAGATCACAACAGCCTCAAGCAGCTCGTCCGTCAGCTCCAGCGTTTGCTTCCAGCTCCCTGAGGCCTGGCGCTCGAACAGCAGCGCATCTTGCTCGCACAGGCTCACGCTCTCTGCATCGGCGCTGACCTTCAAATCCCCCAA